TCGTCTCCTGCAGGCCGCTCAAAAGACAGCAACTATGACCCCGTGCTGGCAGACAGCGAGCGCGAGGCTGTCGCCGACCTGCTTGGTTTCTTGGAGAACGTTAGCTCTGCCCCATGCGCGCCCTCTGCGCCGAAAACCTTGCTCACACACTCCACAGCGTGCCGAAACCGACTTCTTTACCGGCGAGCCTCTTCGAGCGCTGAGCACCCTGGTATATTCCGACAATATCGACTTGCAGCGGTCCGCCAGCTTGACCTTCGCAGAGATCACAGAGCGAGGTAAACCGCCCCGACCCTGCAAGCAGACACCCGCCCTGACTGGCCACCCATATAGATGCCCGTGAAGTCCCCCGAGACACGCTCGAACCCATCCTCTTTCTCCTCCAGAACCCAGACATCGAGGTGCAGCGAGCTGCGAGCGCTGCGCTGGGCAATCTTGCCGTGAACAGTGCGTCCACTGGTTTGGGCTGGAGTGACTGCGCTGACTGTTGCAGCGGAAAACAAGGTTGCCATCGTCCAGCTCGGCGGACTGGCGCCTCTCATCAAGCAGATGAACTCCCCGAACGTAGAGGTGCAATGCAACGCCGTCGGCTGCATCACTAATCTTGCGACGCACGAGGACAACAAGGCAAAGATAGCACGATCAGGAGCGCTTCAGCCCCTCACGCGTTTGGCAAAGTCCAAGGATCAGCGGGTACAGAGGAACGCAACCGGTGCCCTCCTCAACATGACCCATTCTGGTGCGACTCCCAACCCCTCGGTGTTACACATGGCGCGGCCATCCTAACGAAATCTGTAGATGACAACCGGCAGCAGCTGGTCAACGCTGGTGCCATCCCTGTCCTCGTCCAGCTCCTCACATCCTCCGACGTCGATGTTCAGTATTATTGCACCACCGCTCTCAGCAACATTGCAGTCGATGCAAGCAACCGGGCAAAGTTGGCGCAGACTGAAAGCCGCCTGGTGCAGTCTCTAGTCCAGCTGATGGAGTCATCTTCTCCAAAGGTACAATGTCAAGCAGCGCTGGCATTGAGAAACCTCGCGTCGGACGAGCGATACCAGCTCGACATTGTTCGAGCACGTGGACTACCATCGCTCTTGCGACTCTTGCAATCATCCTATCTACCACTCATCCTATCCGCTGTCGCATGCATACGAAATATCTCCATACACCCTGCGAACGAATCTCCAATCATCGACGCTGGCTTCTTGCGGCCGCTGGTAGTACTATTGGGTACCACGGAGAATGACGAGATCCAATGTCATGCCATATCCACTCTGCGCAATCTCGCCGCAAGCTCCGACAAGAACAAACAACTAGTGCTGGAAGCTGGCGCCGTTCAAAAGTGCAAAGAGTTGGTCCTCGACGTCCGTCTTCCGGTTCAGTCCGAGATGACTGCAGCGATTGCTGTTCTTGCTCTCAGCGACGAGCTAAAACCACACCTCCTTACATTGGGAGTATTTGACGTTTTGATTCCTCTCACGGAATCCGACAGCATTGAGGTCCAAGGGAACAGCGCCGCTGCCCTGGGGAATCTATCATCGAAGGGTAAGCTTCCCATCCAAAAGAGGATCGAAGTCATTTGCTGACAAGTCACAGTTGGGGACTACACCATATTCATCCAAAACTGGACAGAACCTGCAGGTGGCATCCATGGATACCTCCGTCGCTTCCTTGCGAGCGGAGACCCGACATTCCAGCACATTGCTATCTGGACGCTGTTGCAGCTTCTCGAATCTGAAGATTCACGGTTACTAGATCTCATTTCCAAGTCGAATGAGATTGTGCGCATGGTCACTGACATTGCCGTGCGGAACATTGAATCAGACGACGAGGACAACGAAGACGGCGAAGGCGAGGTTGTTAGCTTGGCTGGCCGATGCCTGGAGATCCTAGGCAAAAACCCCAAAACGCTTGTCGAGGGCTGAGAGGGCCTGCTTCACCCTTCCCAACGACATGGCCGATCTATACCCCATTGCTCCTGCGCGTTTCCAACCTTCGTTCGCAGTCTTTCTAATGCCTGTCCATGTTGAACTTGGTTATTTCATACCGTGCCTATGGCATGGAATCGGCGGATGGCGTCTCTGGAGAAGACAATTGGTATCTCCGATTTATTTCTAGCGAGCATGGGCGGAGCACATTTCCTTGACGACGGCATACCACGTTTACTTCTAGTGCGCAACGGGTTCTTGATGAGACTGTAATGCTAGACTTGGATTAGGGGAGCTCATTAGGTACTCTCGCACCTCAACGAAAGAATGCTTGTGGTCAACGTTATTGGAGAATGAGTTGAGTTATATCATCAGAGAGCGCTCTTATACCTAGACGAAGGGCAGGTCTTCAGCGGCCAGAGTGTAACTTCGAAGCTGTTTTTGCTGCACAATTAACAGCCTCACCTAACCTGGGTACACAAGTGATTAAGGTCTCTCAGGACTCTCAGTTCATGGATCATTCTTTGTCACGTGCTACTGCACCCCGCGCTGCCGAGGATCACCCGTTATCGATAGCTGCTATCCTTGCAGCAACTACTCGTAAACTCAACCGTCGCGACGCGACTCAAAATTCCCCGCCAAATTCCCACCCACCGCTAACAATTCACCACCTTCGGGAGCTGCAATGCCGCCAAAAGAAGGAACAACCCCATCTGGTACCCCTGACCAAAATCCTAGTGCCACATCATCGGCAACGCCTCCTGTACGTCGCACTGCAGGCGCCCGCGGAAAAAAACCCGCTCCAAAGCCAACTTTCACGGGCCGCCGCAGCAAAGAAGAGCGCGATGCTTGGCTCAAGGAAGAGAGGCAAAAAGATTTAGCGAGAAAAAGTAATGTCGTCACAGATTCCTCTCAAAAGGAGAAGAAGGGCAAGGACAGGGATGATAGGAAAGCAAAGAACGAGCCACAGGCAGTCAGCGGTCCCTTCTCGATGGGAGCCGCTACCAGAGGTAAGTCACTCTAGTTCGTGTTACTTACTGCACTAACATTTCTCGCAGACAACAACCCGACTCCCCGCGTGTACAGCTCCGCTTCGAGGGCGACTCGAGTCAAGTCTGAGCGTGAAGACGACGGCAACAAAACTGCTCCTAGGCCGACAAAGAGGGGAATGAAGCAAGAGGATGGAGGTACTATATCATCCGATGAGGAGGGTGAAACTCAGTACCCGCGCTATGATATCAACGACATGGAGAAAGCGGTAGTTGTCCTATCCGATGAAGAAACGACCGCAGAAACTAAAACCCGAGTCAAGGGCACCAATAGAAACGCGCAATCAATGCTCATGCCGGTTCGACTGCAGCGGGCTCCTCATCGCGAGCGAGGAATCGACATAAATACCGAGTCGAGCACCGCCAGGCCAGTGATCAAACAACCACCCGCCGAAGTGGATGATACCCTGGCGAATGCCGAGAGCTCAGAACAAGCCTCGCGGAAGGGCGCTAAAGATAAATTGAGGGACGTGGAGATAACTGAAGTGCGCAAGCCTTATAAGGGGATGTGGCAAGATACTGATGACGCTAATGTTAACGTCAAGAACGAGCCTCTGAGCGAGGATGAGACTGTGACTCCCTCAGAAATTGGAGGCACTGCTCCTCTCTCTCTCAAAGCCGCAGGAAAGCAACGCAACCTGTCACCAGACGATGAAAAGAAACCAAAGATGCGACACAAATCTGGTACCACCGAATTCCAAACAGACTACGATCGCCAAGAACATGAAAGACATGAGCAGAGTCTGGAATGGATGAAGAAGCATCTAGGCTCGCCTAGGACCAGCGCGCAAGATATTCAAGGAGACGTGACGATGGACGGCACTGATGACACGCCAAGTGCAGTTCGAGACGGCCGGCTATATCTCTTCCAATTTCCACCGCGCATGGCAAACCTCGACACACTGGACATAAAGAAAGAGCAATCGAATCCCGAGCTACCGAATACTCAAGCCGCAGACAATGCACAGAGCGGCGCTATCGTAATGAAGGAGGATCCCAATGATGAGACTTCCGCACTGCCCAGTACATTTCTCCCCAACAGCGGACTTGCTGGCAGGATACGGGTGCACAAATCGGGTCGCGTCTCGCTCGATTGGGGTGGAACAAGCTTCGAGCTCAATCAAGGGTTGGAATCGATGAATGTTCAAGAGGCTGTGACCGTCAGTATTACACCAGAGACCCAACGAGTAGTCAAGGACGAGGGTGGCGATGGTGTCTCATTTGGGCGGTTACAGGGCAAGTTCGTGGTCACGCCAGATCTGACCAAGATGCTGGGCTTGCCCCGTGACTAGCGCTCGTGGAAGATCCACGCAAGATTGCTGTATAGTTCAGGCGTGCACACGCGCAGAACATCTTGACACAAGGCGACATTATGGAGGAAAAGTTGATGCACTTTCTTGCATGGGAAGCAGGCGTTCGATACCACCGATACAGGCTGCATTTTCCGGAGTTTATAGCGGCTTTAATGCGAGGCACACACAATAAGAGACAGACTTTGAGAATCAAGTCAACAGACTTGAGCTCGCATCAAAGTACACTGCCAGGTAGGTAGTCTGATAAATTATCCATGCTGCAATTCCCTCTCCATTATGAAACATTGGTGCTTGCGCGTGTATCACGATTGATTAGAAGAGAGGTACTCATCGACTCGTGTTAGCCATGATGCCGAGTTTTTCTCGTCATTGAACGACCCCTAGTAACATGTGATAAAAATTTCTCTAGTGTAAGCTTTAACATTGCTGCAGCCTGGGAAGCAACAATGTGTTCGCCAACCACCAAAGCATTCGTCGCACATAGCTAAAAATCTTGTGCGCTCGATATCGATTTTTTTGCCGTGTACAAATGCGGTTTTTCGGTAACAAAAAAGAACCTAGTCCCAGACCCATCCATTCCTCAAGGACCCACTCGTACCCACACCAAAAATGTGCAGAAGCCTCTTCTCGGTTTGCTCCACCTACTCTATATATACTAAGCACGCTCCAGAAACTCAAGGCACGCACGAATGAGCGAGCGATCAATCGGTCTTATGGTCTAGTGGTATGATTCTCGCTTAGGGTTTTGAACGATACTCCATCGTTTCCTGAGCACAAAATGCGAGAGGCCCCGCGTTCGAATCGCGGTAAGACCCTTTATGAGAGCTTTCTTTTGTTTTTGTTCTTATTTTTTTGGTTCGTGCTATTGTCGAGGGACTGGCTGGCGGTCGTGAGGGGCGCGCTGGAACGGCTTGGAATGGAGAGAAGGGGTGTCTAATTCGGCTTGGTGGGGCGGCGGAGGAATAGGAGCGGATGTGAGAATGAGTGCGTATGGGCGATGAGCTGGCGGAGAGTATGGGAGTAACGGCGATTACTTTGGTTGTGCACAGTTGATACGTCTCGTTTCTGGGCGATGGGGATTGGTGAGCTGGGCAGATTGGGTAAGCGAGAGGGGGTAAACGATAGAGTGGGGGCGGAATCATTGAAGCGGGACGGGAGGGAACGGATGGTTGGTTTGCTTTTGGATCTTGGGGTGTAGTGGGGGCTTGATAGCAGAGGGTGTGGGGTTGAAGATCGTACTTGGGAGTGCTGTGACGGGCCTTGCATTTCTGAACTGCCTAGATTTAGAATTCTTAGGTTCCTCCTTTCCAACCAGTGAGTAGGCTGTCGCAGCTGCAGACTAAGCAGCGAGGGATTGGATAGTGTAAACTGCGTACTGCGCCTTGACAAAGCAGCATGTGAGTGATTTATGGTAGCCAGCACTGATTGCAATTGTGGGTCACAATTGACATCGTTTCACAACAGAGCGTGTACCTTATCCAAACTGCGTATTCGTATACTTTCTACTCTCTGTTATGAAATTTTCCATTCCACATTATCCAGGTTTGCGGCCGTACACAACCCAAAAGTTCCAGTACGCATGGATCTTCTTGTTGCGGAGGTCATTCCGCACCGATGCCATAAACACTTGGACTTCTTCCTGAGACCACCCCAGAGCACGGGTGAACAGTGCAAGACTCATCGACTCGCACCCCCACGCGAAATTTTCGGATACCCAGCGGCCGAGTTCCTTGTACTTGGGATCTTTCGGCCAACTATTGATGGGCCATTTGATTTGCGTGGGGACGACATCTACAAAGCCTACATCCTTCATGCGCTGAGGAACGTAGCTGATGGCGTCCAGAGGAAATCCAGCCTTACTGGCTGCATCATGCATGTAGTTGTGCCAACGGACGAGAGGGGAGTTGGTGGGGAGAGAGCCATCGTCACACTTGATGACGAAGTCGATGTCGTGGACCTCTAGATAGCCATCCTTTTGCAAGAATCTGCCCTGATGAGAAACGTTTGTGAAAACGAATAGAGGGAACGTACTCGAAACTTTGGCTGAAGAAGCGTGGCCAGTCTTGGAAGGCGCCGATCATCAGCTGACAGTGGATGTAGTCGAATTTGCGCGAGAAGGTCCACGGCTTTTCCAGGTCGTCAACTTCAAAGGTAAGGTTTGGAGGGACACTATGATGGTTAGGCTTGAGTGTTTGAGATTGTGGGCACGTACTTGTCCGGCTGGACTGGTGCGAGGTCGACACCAAGTACCTCGCTTTCCGGATGGGCGTCGGCTGCTCAAAGTCAACAGGGAGGGAACAAAGACGTGGAAAAACACACCAAAGTCTATGGCCCAGATGCCAGTGCCACAACCCACGTCAAGGGCTCGGTTCACCTGCTTGATTGGCGCGAAGCCAAGCTCCTTGTCGAGGGTGAGCCACACAATATGGTGTTGAAAGTCTGAGACGGTCAACCATTGAGATAACAAGGTGACCACGTAGCTTACCTAAGCGTTCGATCTCTTGCTAGATAACGAAGCGTTAGTGCGGTGTTGGACACGTGGGAGCTGGAGTAGAGCAATCAATTACCTCGTCCATGGGGAGCACATATTCTGGGCAGCCAAGTCAGCATCACGGTCAAGGCGAAGGGGAGAGGCTTGAACATACTGGCCTCCATGTATCCCTGGTACTGACGGCCATGTTCGCGCAGTTCCAAGATCAACTCGTCTCTCAGCGAGGTCGTGTCGGTGGCCAACTGTAGGCGCGGGTGGTGTTAGCGCAGTCGGGCGATCGACGATGGCTCAGGTCCAGGCGGACGCGTTCTCACTCACGCTGCTAAAGGCCGAGTCGCCGTCGTCGAAGAAGTGGTCATCTGTGTCCTGTGGGTGGTCTTGTCAGTGGGCGGTTGGGATGGCGCAAGGCGGTGGTGGGTGGACCTGCCGTGCCCGTATCAGGCTCGAGCGGCGCATTGGCCTGGGACGGGCCGGCGGCTGGCTCAAGTGCATCACCAGGGTTCATGGTCGCTTGAAATGCGCCAGAGGTAACGGGGGGGGCGAGACGATTCCAGGTTGATGAAGAGGTCCAAAGGGAGGGTTGGCGGGGGTGGCAGCGCTTTCCAGAAACGGGACGGCTCGGCGTCCAGGCTCCCCAAACAATAGCCGCCGCCCGCGATCCCCAAGACCTGGTTGAGAGGACCTCTCCCCCCCAGCTGCGCAACCAAGGCTCACCTCTCGGTGCACAAACATGGTCGTTCAAGGCGACGAGGCACCGGGCCCGTCTCTACTGGCCTACTGGCACGTCGACCACATTCCCAGGGCCACGGCTGTCCTCACCGTTTTGGCTGCTGTCTTGCTCGCTCAGCTGGCGCGCGTCGGCCTCTCCTGGTATCGTCTGTCGCACGTCCCGGGGCCTTTCTGGGCCGCCTTTTCCAAGTGGTGGATGGTGAGGGAGTCACTCAAGGGAAGACAGCCGACGGCCATCAAGCAAGTCACCGACACCTATGGCAAGTTGGCCGCCTGCGAAAGACTGGTCGACGACAGTGCTGATGGTGTCTGCAGGCTCGCTGGCCCGCATTGGTCCAAATGAGCTGGTCACCGACGATCCGGACGTCCTTCGACGCATCAACGCCGTCCGCTCTGCCTACACCAGAGGCCCATGTACGCTCACCGGCGCCCCTGTGTGACCCCCTTTGCTGAGTCACGTAGGGTACAATGCAATGAAGTTCGAACCCGGACGAGACAATCTATTTTCGATGCGAGACGACGCCGCCCATACCCGCCTGCGTAACCGCATGGCGGCCGGTGTAAGTCAACGTCAATTTCCCCATTGAGACTGTTGAGCAACTAACACCTGCCACCCAAAGTATTCTGGCAAGGAGAACGAATCCATGGAGGGCACCATTGAGACACAGATCGCCAAACTCGTCGAGCTAATCCAAAAGAAATACATCTCAGCAGCTGAAGGCTACCAGCCAATGGATTTTGCACAGAAAGCCCAGTATTTCACTCTGGATGTTATTAGCGCTCTCGCGTTTGGCCAGGCATTTGGCTACATGGAGCACGACGATGATCCGTTTGACTATATTCAGATTACCAAAGCGTACATTCCTTTCATGCTGGTTTTGGCGAACGTCCCGTCACTGGCTGATCTACTGCACTCGCGCTTCTTCCGAAGTGCGCTGCCGAAAGAGAGCGACAAGCTTGGTTTCGGCGCTTTTATTGGGTTTGTGCTGCTACCGTCTGCAATTACAACGATACTGACTGCATGTCAAGCGTTGCAAAAAAAGTAGTCGCAGAGCGATTCGGTCCGTCAGCAAAATCCCACCCCGACATGCTCGGCTCCTTCATTCGCCATGGATTGAATCAAGATGAAGCCTCTGGCGAGGCATTGCTCCAAGTAGTCGCTGGCAGCGACACTTCCGCGTCCACGATACGAGCTGTCATGTTGAATGTTTTGGCCAACCCACCAGTCTACAGAAGATTACAAACAGAAATCGAACACGCCATTAAATCCGGCAAGATATCCTCGCCCGTCAAAGATGTCGAGGCACGTCAGCTCCCGTACCTTCAAGCTGTGATCAAGGAGGGTCTTCGCATCTTGCCACCGGCCGCGGGGACATTTTTCAAGACTGTCCCTGCAGGTGGTGATGTTATCAATGGTAAATTCATTCCCGCTGGCACACAGATTGGGTCATCGCCGTTTGGTATCCACCATTCGAAGAAAATATTTGGCGCAGATGCAGAGCTGTTCAGGCCAGAGCGTTGGCTCGAAGCAGATTCGGCGCGCCTCGCCGAAATGTCGAGTACCGTCGACCTTGTGTTCCACTATGGAAAGTGGCAGTGCCTGGGCAAGCAGGTGGCTTTGATGGAGTTCAATAAGATCTTTGTAGAGGTATATATCGCTGATGGCAATGGCAATGGCAATGAGAGCTGACCATGACGAAAGCTATTTAGGAGGTTCGATTTCTCAATCGCCAATCCGGCGAACCCTGCGCGGATTGAGAACGCGGTAAGTGCATCTTTCTATGGACGTGGCGGTCACGTTGGCACGTGCTCCCGCGTCACCCCACGAACGCGACACCGGACTGGACCGTCGGCTAACATACGCGCAGGGCATCTGGATCGTCGAGGACTTTTGGGTCCGGACTACGCGACGAGACATGTAGGCCGCAATTGGGCCCCAGACTGTTTTATCTAACCATCAAATGTCTGTACATATAGTCATGTTTTCAGAGCATGCATCCTGTAGCATAAGGAAGGAAGCGGCATCAGTTCAATTGAGCGTCAAATCTAGTGGGGCAGCTGCGCTCGCCATACATATTGCGCACCTACCTAATCTGATGCGAGCAATCTGAATCACCTGCATGGGCGTGCTGATAGTTGCTTCAAGATGCCGTTTGGGGACGCCCGGCGTCGCGCGGCGTCGCAGTGTCGTGCTTTGGCTGGATTTCCAAGCCTGACGCGGGTCTGACCAAGGCAGCCGTGACTCCAAACGGCACGGAAGATGCGTGAGCTTGTGGGGATGCGCATTTGTTGTGGTGGGTCCCCAGCCGAATCACGGCGCGTCTGCGACAAGTCGCGTCCCTCTGCACGGACTGTTTGTGTCCGCGATGGGGGGCTGGGTACGCGCGATGAAAAATGTCGAATGCGTTTTGCACGCGACAAATGGGATGGAAAGGGGACGATATGGGTGTTGTTGAATCGAGCACGGCGAATTGCGTGCGAGGCAGGCGCGAGTGGCGACTGTGGACTGGAGGCAGGCGCGAAAATGTTAAGTTCGATGGCGAGCGACAAAGCTTTCGTCATAGCGTCAGGCACCGATGCGATGCCAAGGAAACG